AAAGTAAAACCATTGAGCTCTCCTTTTAAATTTTGGAAAGAACGGGAAAGATTAAAATAATTGCCTGTCCACTGGGGATCCTCATGTTTTGCCTCACAAGGGCACCCGCTGCAACCATGGCATGCTTCTCCAAGACTGCTCCATCAAGAAGCGCAGCTCCCATACCAACAAAAGCCTCATCCTCAACAGTACAGCCATGTAAAACAGCACTATGACCTGCGTGGATTCATTTTGAGTACCATACCAAAAGTCGGATAGGACTCTTGTAGGGAAAAGTAGAAGTTTCAATTTCTGACCATACATGAAAGCAGAATCATTAAACAGGATGCTTACCAATAGTTACATTATCTCCAATGATGGTAGGAAGCACTTTCCCGCTTAGATTGGATTTTGCCACATGAACAAGGGAGTTATCCTGTATATTAGTTCCAGACCCAACAGTGATGCTGTTAACATCACCTGCAGATAAAAAGATGGATCCAGATGAAGGTTAGTGACAGATAATAGCATTCTCTTCCTCTTTCTTGTCTCCTTTCTTTGGAAGTTAAGGGTGTAGAGGAAAATTCTTGAACCAATTTTGCATGTTAAATTTCAGATGAAAAGGCTGGTCATAAGTTCCCTTAAATGTTATCATCTTGTATTCTCAAACCCCGCGCCCCCGCCCCCCTTTTCTTTTCTTTGGAGTCGCATGGGCAGCAGAAGTATGCAATCCCACAGTGAGGGTAGCCTATGTTCCTATCAAAACTTAAGCAGGCAGCAACATAATTTCTGAATGACAAATACCTTCAAGAACTAATCACCTCCACAAATTCAAAATGAGATTCCACAGGTCAGAGAGAGAGCAGGCAAAATGGTACACTAGTGGGGTGAAGAAGTGAATGCAACTGGAAAGGAAAACAATCATTTACACGCAAAAAAAGTACTGCCTGAATGGGTATTACTTTGGAAAATCTGGAAGTGGCATAAAAGAATGACATACAAGAATGATCACGATGAATACAAAGGAGGGTACTTAAAAACATCTCTTTTTCTCTCTCTGGGCTTAGAAAATTGCATCCTAAATTTTCAGACAATGATGTGCAAAGCTGCAGCAGCCTTTTTACCCTCCTTGAAGGTTATTAATCATTTTGATATCTTTTTATTTTCTTTTCACACAAAGACCCTTAAGGACATGAAAACAAGCGTAATGCATCTGATCTTTCAAGAATATGTAGATTTAGTTTCCCATGCAACAAGTAACAAATTCTCGTTGCATTCTGATGGTATCAGAGCTCTACAACTTAAAGAATACCAAAATCGTTCAAAAGGAATATCATAAGCAAATACTATATACTTTAACAACTTTCTTAAGCATCTGACTGAAGATAAAATGCAGCAATATTTCAAAATTGAATCTCCTTGTACAACATCAGGCAAACTTCAGATGTCTACTTTCTTTTTTTACCATTAATTATTTTTTTTTGGGGGCATGTCTGCTTTCTTCTTTTAACTGAAGGGCTATAAAATTTTGCTCTCATATTACTGAGCAGCAAAAAATTTAGTCATAACCAATTGAAAAAATTAAGAGAAACAAAAATCATGAAGAGGGACCATATGCCGCATGCAGAAGTTACATTCGAACTCTTCTTTGGTGTTAAAGTAATAGCTATGAATAGTCATTGACTAGGCAACAAAATGACTGAAAAACTGCTGTTGAACATCCTCCAGGCATGTAACAGTCTGAATTGCTATGGATATAAACATAATTTCTGAGTGAAGCACTGACCTCTCAGAACACATCCATACCAAATAGATGACCCTCTTCCCACTTGAACATCCCCAATGATGGAGGCACTTGGGGCTACAAAGGCTTCCTTATCAACCAGAGGAGCTTTATCGAATATGTTCATCAATGTACGGTGTCTAGACACTAAAGAACAAACAAGCAAGTAAAAATGCAGAAAAAAGCAAAACACAGCTCATAAGAGAATTGGCTAATTGACATTTAGGGATGGGATAAGGCAATAACTAAGCGAAAACTGGGCACAGAAGTGCATTGAATGAAATCTGAATCAACAGGCTTAAAATGTGCTTTGGTTCAGAACGCTAGCAGCCAGGATACATATAAGTTGCCCTACGAGGGGCCTTAAGGTTACAGTCATCCTTAAAAAGTGCAATTATAGGGTCAGGAGGTATTGGCACGACAAAGAAAATAAGATGAAAAAGTATAGATAGCAAAATCTGAAGCAACAAGCATATATCTTCATCAAAGAAAAAACTAAAGGTCTAAAATCGATCCAAATGCAGAATGAAAATTTCTAGCATGAGTTCCTAACATGACCATGTACTTGAAACTACAGCAAGAGGTTCAACCAAAACATTTCATACTAATTAAACTTAGTATTGCACATTTCTATAACTTCTTTCCTCGCATTTCCTCGTTAAATCATTAGAGAAATGGTTTGAACTTAATATCCCACATATGTATATTATGACACACATAAACCATGAGGCCATCTGACTCATTTGATGGGGTGATCCATAAAATAGAATCGCTTCGTTCTTTTTTTTTTTTTTTTGTTTTTTGGTCACTCACCAGCAAAGAATTACATAATTCGCTCCCCACTAAGCCGTCCTAGCAAGATCCTATTGCCAGTTAATTTGAGCAAGATTAAAACTTTACCGGAAAAAAATTGACAAATAGCTCAATTAGCCCAACAATCTGAAGATAAAAGAGAAAAAGAAATTAAGATGGGCGTCAACATTTGTCACCATTCGTACCAAAAGAAAGAAAAAAGAAAAAGCTGTGGACGCAAGTATGTTAAAGGTGAGAATGAGGTGGGCGCAACCTACATTGTTCTTGGAAATAATAATTTCCTTGGAGACGGCAGCCAAGGCGATCGAGGGCTTGACCCGTCTCTCTGATCCAAAACCCAACTGTATACACTGCTCTTCCCAGAGTTCCCATGACGATGATGACTCAGGATTGATAATCGATCAGCTCCTCCAGTAGAGGTGTTTTATGGGGTTTTTCAGCTAAGAGGGTGAGTCAGGGTTTTAGCCGTTTGGATAGGAACTTGAAGGGCATCTTTGGTAACTGGCATGCATAGCACACCTACTCTTTTTTATTTGATGGAGTCACATCTCTCCTCTAATTTGTTCTGTTAATTGCAAAATAGGCTCTTGCACTTTCATGTCCTGCATTGCTGCTATTACATGACACGGCCTTTCTTTTCCCTTTTTTCTTGATAATCATTTCAATAAGGTAAGCATTCAAGTACCTCTAATCTAAAGCATTCTGATCACACTTTGTTTTGATTGCTGCTTATTAATAGCTTGTTGGGACGTGCTTAGCAATCCATTTTAGACTTTTGAAATTTTAGGTGAACCTTTTTACGAAAATCCCATCAAAAAAAGAAGAAGAAAACTGTTTCCCATAATTGAGATTTTGGGGATATATTTCAAAATGGAACGCAACAAATTTACTTGAAGTGCAAGATGGATGCACATTCAACAATTTCACCGTTTAGGTCCAGTCTGGTTGGAATTTGGAATTGAATACTCGGGAGTCGGAGGCATGTAATTTTTGTTCTTGCAGCCTTTGGAAGTGCCAAGAAAAACTGGAATTGTACCAAGGAAATGAAGAGATTTCAATACTGTTTCCCCTGGCTGAAGTGGTACAAACTTAAACACTCTGATATCATACAGATATGTTACGCTTAATTATGCTACCTTCACTTGATGAACACATAATAAGAGAGTGAGCTATGAAGCGTTGATTGAACTCCTTCAACGTGTATTTCTACTGTTTTTGTATAAAAAACATAATCCGAATCACCTGCTTTTGTCAGTTGATCCATGTAAGATCAAGGTACATAAAAGCTTCGAATGGAAGAAGCGTATGGCGATGGTAAATTCTCAGTCACACCAACAGCAAAGTGGCACAATGACTTTTAAAGGGTGTTCTAATATTTGTCTTGGATAGTTCATCTCCTCATCGACTCCTGAGGCGGCTTGGAACGGTTGCCGCTACTGCGATATATGCCTTGCGGGTTTCTTGCGTTGAAGGATTCTACACTGTTGATATCCTGAATTTGTTGACTGGATTTCTATCCCCTAAGGCTGGAAGCTTTAGATGGTGTTCCGTTGCCAGCTAAGGTGTCCGATGAATTTAGGCCTTTTTTTCGGTGTCTTCCTGGATTCAGATTCTGGTGAGAGTATCTCCTCTGCCACAAATTCACAAGATCTAGGAAGAAGTTATCAACGTTCAGCAGATAACATAATCTTGTAAAGGGGTCAGGGCTGCAAAACCAACATGTCAAATACAGAGGTGCTGTAAAGGGATCGACATATGCTGATCGATTGTTGAGTTACAGATTCTTTCCAGTTTGACCTTTACCGCGATTAATGAATAGTACTGCTGTTTAGAACCTGTTCAATCAACGTCAATTTTTTGGTTCTCTCTCGAGCTGTTTCAATTTTATTTTTATTAATCAAACCTTTTGACATATATTCTACTTCTAGATGTGACAACTTGGCATTCATTATTTGTTCAAGCGGTGACTTTTTGATCAGCATACTCTTCCTAGTATTCGTTAGTAGAACCTTCATCCTCAGTTCATCCAAACAAGTACAAGAAAAACGGAGTAAACCGTTGCATAAGAACATCTCATCAGACGGAGAAAGTGACTCGTTACCCTTTTCAGCACTGAGGATTAAATATGCTTCTCATGATACTCATCAAATATTGCTAGTTTGTTCTTCGGATATGAAGAGGATTCTGTGGATGTTTGGGAGAAGGTCTGCGTTCTCTAGAGTCCTCTGTACAGCGAAGCAATACCAATGTCCAGGCTTTGAGCATTTCATTAGTCCTTGACTCGAGTTCAACAAGACATGCCAGATCGATTGTTAATGATAAAAGATTTTTATTGGTGCAACAAACCTCCAACAACTCAACACCAGAAGGCACAAGGTCATTATCAAATATCATCCCAATATCTGACTTTCTATCCATGACATCATAGTACAAATAATAGTGTATACCAAACTGCATAGTGGGTTAGAATCTTCAAACATCACTTGCTAATTGTTTCTTAAACATGGCCAGCTAAAGTGACAAAAAGTCTCCTCCTACCACCCCCCCCAACCCTGGATAAAAGCCTTCAGAAGACTTGATCAAATATGTATCACTCAAGTTTCTCCAACAAATGAGTGGGAGAACTTTTGTCTTGATTTTGTTCTTCTGGGCAGTACTCACCATTGTCACCCCTATGCTTGTTCGCTTGTCCGCTTCTGCCAAACCCCACATTGAATTCAAGGCCAAGGGTAAGAAAACCAAGAGATGTTTGTTGCTCATGTAATTTTTACACCTTCAAATTTCATTTCCAAATTCTTGTTTTTCAGAAGTAATATTTGGTTCCGGGAAGAAAGTAATTTTTGGTTTTTCAGAAGTAGTACTCTACTGAGGTCAATGTCAATTTGCTGCAAGTCTGAAACAAGTGAAACAATTAGTGCTAGGCCTTGAAACAAGTGAAAAATGGAGCATGATATTTGGCTTTGGTTTACTTTCTTGTAGGGGAAACACGGGAAGAGATGTACACTAGGAGGGTTTTGGAGATGTTGCCTAGAAGAGCACTTGTTCCTACAATGATGCACAAGGCTCCATTGGCACCAGAGCCACCAGCTTCCGCACCAGCACCAGAACCAGAACCAGAACCAGAACCAGAACCATCATTAGTAGTCAATGGCCTAGAACTTTTTGTAGACGGGGATAAATTGATAAGCCATAAAGCACATGAGCTGCTGCTCAGATGAATTTGGTCCGGATTATCGAGCAAACCATCATGAGACAAGTGTTAATTTTTATTGAGAAGGTGGTTGGGCGCGATTGTAAATAGAATGTTGGTAGGTTATTCTACCATAGAACTTTTTTTTTTTTTTTTTGTATTCTTTTTTTTCCCCTTCCCTTGTGGTTATTCTCAACAATAAAAAGCACAGATAGCAAAGTATTTAAATTTACAGACTTCTATTAACAGGTTAATTTCGAGCTCAAGGGCAATAAGAGTGGAAAATTGAGGAAGAAATGCAACGTGTTTATATATATGAAGAAAGGAGTATATACATATTACACATAGTTCAGTCTATATTAATTCCAAGATGTCATCATTTTCTTTAATCTTCTTCTTTCTTCTTTCTAACTCACCGTTTGGATTAGCTATTTTTTGGGGTGTTTTTGAAAAATTTTGTTGTAGCAAATTTTTTAATTATATTTTGAGATATTTTTAGAAAATATTTTGAAATATTTAAGAGTAGAAGGGTTTCTAAAATATATTTTGAGATATTTTTTAAAATTTTAAAAAAATTTAAACTAATTTTTAGATTACCTTTAGAGTATTTTTTAAAAAATTTTATTGTATTTGAAAAACATTCCCATTCAAACTGGTTTTTTTTTTTTTTTTTTTCCATCCATTGGCTTTTGCATTGGCGATGGATATGGTAAATATACTCTGTTCTTAAATTAAAAAAAAAAAATTCTAGATGGGCTCCAGTATTGGGCTGAAATCGTACTAAAAATACCAATCTAGATTCTTTAAGTTGCAAGGGCCACATGTGTGGCGTCCGCGGTGTGAACAATGAGAACGGGGTCCTCCTTGTCCAATTGGAGAAGTTAAAGTAAATTTTTGTGTTTGGTTGTCCGGAAAATTGTTTGGATACTGTTAGGAATCTGTTGCAAATAACCCCCCAGCCCCAAAAGGCCCATCTTCTTTATCATGTTTGGATACTGTTAAAAATCTTGACACGAAAAATTATGTAACGTCAGATTGCCATAAACATTCCTGCGAGCATAATGTGGAATTGTTATTGTGAACCCCTTGTTTACATAATAATGGATGAAACACACCGTGCTTTAGTTCAATGGGGACGTATTTGAGATTATAAATAAACTTCCATTAAAGGTTGCTTAGCCAAGTTTTGCTGATGACATCATTACTGTCTCTGAATAAAGAAACATGCCAAGAGTGAAATTCAAGCATCCCCAATTGAACGACCACCATGCACAATCATCACAGGCTTGGGTTTAAAGCATAATTATGCACCTGCCACTCGACAACAGACGTCAAACTCTTAGTTCACCACAACAGCAATGGCACAGTTATGATTGTGTATTGTCAAAGCTAGGGGTGCACATAACTCAAGCCGCTTGTGAGTATCTTGAGTCGGAGGTCGAGCTCGAATTCAAAGACATTTCACTCATTAACTCGTGAACCTACTCGATTATATATATATATATATATATATATGTGTGTGTGTGTGTATATGCAATGGCATAGTTATAATTGAATATTATCAAAGTTAGGAGTTCATACAACATGAACCGCTCGTGAGTAGTTTGAGTCAGAGGTTGAATTCGAGTTCAAAGATATTCCGCTAGTTTATTCGTGAACCAATAGTGACATTACATATATATTTTTAATATTTTTTTATTTATTAAAAAAAATTACTATTTTATTCATTTTTTTAAAAAATAAAATAATTATTATTTTTTAATTTTTTTAAGCTCGAACTCGGGTTTTACATTGAGAGTTTGTCAAATTCGAGTTCGAGTTTGATAAAATTAAGCAGAGAATCGATTTGATTAGGGCAAAGCTCCTCTGTTTTGCAACCCTAGTCAAAGCCTATTCTTTCAATAGTCGCATTAGTGTTGTATTTACTGCCATGTCAATTACATTGGCCAATAATCCCACAAAGAGTCAGAAGTTATTAGCAGCAATTCACAAGATTGAATTATAAAATGAGTTGCAAAGTGCTATGGCAAAAGCATTGTAGAAAGTGGAAAACGACTCGTTTCATTACTACCTCATCATTCCCACAAAGGGGCAGAGAATGTACAACACTAATATAGATAACACTCCTCATATATTTGAAACATGAGCTAAAAATATGAAGTAAAACCAAATGTAGCAGAAGTATTTAACAAAGATCATTACAAGACATTCAACACAAAGGCTTTGACAAAGTTTATCAGCCAAGGCAATGACCATATTAGAAGACCGATGAACTTCTCAGACGAATCGATCAAGGTACTCCTCGACAGTGGTGTACTTGACATCAGAATAGAGCTCTGAAGCCTCTACACCAAAAGATGGCTCAATTGTAAAGTTGGTACTATCACCGTTAACCAGAATTGAATGGCGGATTGATAATGCGACATTGAGTGGAGTTGGAGCCTCTGCAAAGAAATGGTCCATCAGAAATTTATACGCTAATAATTCATACAACTAGAAGACATAAATGCGCTTCGCGCGATGGAAATGTAAAATGCCCTGTCCACTTTTGTATACATGCAAAATAAAATATATGAAGTAATAAAAATTGTAATTTATGCAGAAAAAGTATGCGAATTATTAATAAAATTTAGAAGGAATGGATCCTTAAACAGGTAGTCTATGGAGTTAAACCGGTAGTCCATGGAGTTATGTCTGTTCCATGCTTTGTTTTGCATATGAAAACCATTTGCAAGAGAAATGGCAATAAATTGTATCTACGCTCAAGTACGACATCATAGCCATTTCTTTGGTCTCCCTACCCCACTTACCTTCATCTTTCCTAGTAGAAAACCAAGGCAGCCATTCAATTAATTCATTCTTGTGGAGATTATACACCATCCACATTTGTATATGGAACTTTGTTTCCGAAAATACTCTACAAAGACGAAAACAACGCTTCTGTAAACCACATTGTTATATCAAAGAACTTCCAAATTGCTCATCCATAGAAGCTACGACATATCCCGCGTAGAAAACACACACTCAAGTCAGGGGCAACAAAATTGACATTGCACGTAAACAAAAATTGTTGGAAACAGGTACCGCATCATCATTTTGTCAACATTACTTTCATTAAACACAAAACTCAATGGCCAATGCCTCTATTAATATTACAAAAATACCAAATCCGCACTAATTTGAAGGCTATGAGGGGAAAAACAGATTTTCTAGTCTTCAATTGTTTAAGCGATAAACAAATAGAGAGAACTCCAACATAGTACAAACTTAGTAACCCCCTTTGAGATCATTGACCACATTTTATGGAATTGGAGTTACAGTCTCCAAAGTTGCACCTTCTACCATGAAACCTGGTTTGGGCCCTTCAGGTTGCCTCTTAGTATTGTTGACCTCACCTCTTGCCTTTGCTGCAGCCTTCAATTCATCATTTTTTCTGTTCTATACTTGATTTCCTCATTGCATCGAGAAGGCTGAACATACTCTACGCGAACATGAATCCTCTTCCTGATAATCATATTATCAACCTGCAGGTAAAATTTGTGGAAGCAAAGATTAGCTTGCTTTCAAGATAATGGAATATAAAGTAACAATGTCATGATGTTGTGGAACAGGACCATAGAAGATAGATGAATAGAATAATTAACATGCAATTCTTGATGCATAAGGTCCAAAAGAAACCATACCAGTAACAAAATAACAAAGTTAGGCTGGATCTGTGTTGCTGGATCTTCATGATCATGTCCGTCATCTTCACTCTCATCTTCTTCATCCTTCCTCTTTTTATTAAGTTTCCCATTCTGATCTCTGTTACCTGTATTCTGATGCCCGTGACAGACATCTCTATTTCCCTGAACAGCCTTGTCTTCATAAGTAGACTTCCCTTGTTTCTTGGTATCAAACTTCTTTTTCCTGATAACATGTTGCCAAATATTCCTCAGCTCCTTAATTCGAACAAGTTTCACCAAAGTCACATGCACCATGCATGACCCATTTTATTACAAGCTTGGGATCACTGTTTGCTGATAACACTGGCAGAATTCAAGGAAGTATTCATATGGAATGATCAAAGGGTTTCTATAACATAATGCCCAAACACTCAATATGCATATATTTTGAAAGACAAAATAGTAAAACGTTCTTACTTTACGCATTTGAGCAAATAATGCCAAAACAATGCAGATAAGTAAAATGACATGCTTCCTGTTCCCAAATGCACTCCAGAAAGGAGTAATCATAACATTCTCGAATGACATAGAAGAGAAAGTTTGTTTGCTTACTCATGACAGGAAGGTCCATTTCAAGTCCAACAAGCTCCAAAAGCTTATAGCCATCCATGTCAGGCATATGAACATCCCTAAGTACTAAGTCAAATCGGTCCTTATTTTCCCTCAACATCTTCAACACGGCTTGCTGGGTATTTTGAGTACTGTAAGTTGAATGAGACTGAAGAAAAGAAAGAAAAACATAAATGCTTGTACTAAAGTGAGCACTGTCATCATGAAGTTGAAGACACTTCAAATTCAGTGTGGAAAAAGTACCTGATACAGCCTTTTTTTGTTGTTTCCATCCCACACACTAACATAACCATCACAATCCCCAGTAGCAAATGTACCATAGCTGCATATTTAAATCAGTTTTGAGATAGATTACGGGAAGAGGCTAAAGATATTCAATCAATAGAAAATTGTAATAGATCCAACTCAATCATTCAACATAAAATAAATCAAGAAAAGATAGCTCCACTAGTGAAATATCTTAGCATTGATTTTCTTTCTTAACAAAACTTGAAAAAAAAAAAACAAAAAGGCCATACAAGCCAACTTCCAATGAATGACTGCTGAACAATAATCTCTTTATTGTGGATAAATGTATATGCAGCACTTATATGAGATGAAATGCAATTGAATTCAATGGGGTAGACAATGTCCCTTCCAGCTCCAGATTTTCGATGACACTTGAATGCATACCTACACATATAAACCATCATATAGTAGACAATTATCAAGGTCTGCCTGTTTCATTCTTGTTGAATTCTTGATATAAGAAATTTACTCATCTTATTCAATAGCCAACAGAAGTTTTAATCCACCAGATCATAAGGAATTACACACATGTCAATATCATTGCACCATGTTTAGTTCTCTAACAAGTAATTTTAAGGTGAGATGCAAGCAAGTAATAGTACAAAAAATTGGATAAGAGCCTCTATGAAGAGCTAACAAATTGAGGAGGACCGAACATAAGAATGGTATTGGTAAGGTACCATAATAGCTTAGTTCCTCATTTCTCTCCTCTATATTACTCTTCGAAGCAAAGTTGCCATAACAGTAAAACTTATGCAGACACACAAACTAAGATTGATCATACCCTTTATACTACTCCAAAACCGCCGCCTCCTATTCTAGTTTGAGGAGAGAAAGTGTCCTGTTGCTGACCTCAAAGAGTTGTATGAGAATAGCCTGACATTGCTGGTAGCAAGCTCTAACCATGCAGAAGCAGATAGAAAACCAGAGAATCAGAAGTGATCATATACAAAATCATGGAAAAGAGTTGTAGATTAGTATATGCACTATTCAGATGAAACCATAACACCCATCCTAAAATATGCAGCATAAATCTCACAAAAAAAATTCAGGTTCTTATATCTTTGAACTGAAACTGTTATCTAAGTTGTGAGCAGCTAAAGGCACTTATGTCCCGCTTAGATTAAGCTCAAACTGAAACCTGACTTTGGAGCTTTTTCTGATGTTAACTTTTTCTGAACCAAACAACTCTAAACTGGGTAACATAGCTACCTTAAGAATACATGGATCGGCTCCACTTATCAAGTTAGAAAAAACAGATGTTTCCTAAGGACGCATAGTTATGATGAGAAGCTTGAAGGTTGTGCTTGCCTGGGGAATATCTAGAGTTGAAAATTGGAAATCGGGAAACATAAATTCAGGTTCAATTGCTAATTGTAAACTGTTAAAGTTTTGAGCATGATATTAACAGCCTAATTTGTAGTTCAAGTTTGGAGACATTTGCTTTAGCAGATGATAACTAACAAAAAATTTCATGGCAAATCCCTTTTCACTCATTAATACCTCTCATTTTCATGCGTACAACACGCAAATCCCTCAAGAAAACAGAAATGGCTTATAGAGTATTTCACTTTCAACAAGAATGTTAAATCCAATCAACAAAATTATCACCATGCTCAAATTTAGCAATAATTGGGAAAAACCTCCATTCAAGCCTAAACTAAAAATTGAAATATTCTTGGTTCTTACCTCATGGCACATGTGCTTTATTCGTCCCTTGCAAGAACCAGATGCACTGAAACAGCTACTAAACCCCATCTCTCCTTTTACGCATCTGATGACAAGACCCCACCAAGAAAAATCTTACAATCGTTGATGCACCTGCTTCAAATCCAGACCCATTACCTCGTAAGATAAGACAACAGAGTATGAAAAACCGATTGAGGAAAAAAAAAGGCAAACCTTTATCCAACTTCCCGCAGGTTGTTTTGGACGGCAGATGAGGATTATACTCGAATTCGAGTGCCGGTGAATAAAGAAGTAAACTGTATGTAGTAAGATGGGATAGGGAGAGGAAAGGGCAGGGAAGGGAGAGGAAGTGTGAGGAAGAGCGGCGAGGATGAAAGGCGGGTCAGCTTAGGGTTAGGAAAAAGGGAAAAGGAAGATGCTTTAATTGATCTCTTTCTCTGTTTCCTCCAAGCAAGGATGGTCTGGAGATCTGGAGGAGTTGAGCCTATAAAGGGTGAGGGTCTGGGTCCGGAGGGTCTGGAGATCTAGGGAGGAAAGGCAGTGAGAGATGCCGATGATGGCGAGGATCTTGCTACGGAATTGAAAGGCCTCTCAAAGGCTGAGAGATAAACGAGAGGAAGAAGGTGCGGCGGTGGAGGAGAAATGGTATAAAAAAAAAGGGAACAGCGAGGTTGAACTTGAAGCAGAAGGAGGCGAAAGGGGAATCCCAGGGCCAGTGGGAGAAAGCGGACCTCTGATGCTAGGTAGAAAAGGAGGCGATAGAGGAGAGGGAGACAGTGCGCCGGCGGAGGAGGAGGAGGAGCGAATGGACAAAGTATGAGGATGTACGTAACCCTAGAGGAAAAGGGAGAGAAATTGAGAGGACAGAGGAACATTGTTGTGGAAAGAAGAGAAAGATAAAAGAGGAAAACAAATGACAGAAGAAAGAGAGAGAGAGCAGCTGCAGAGAGAAGGCAGCGGGAAGAAAGAATGCAGCAGAAGCACATGAGATACTGGCAGCGAGGCCAGGTGGGAAGCTAACGCGCGAGGCGCGAAGGACTAAATGCTTCTAATCCACATGCCGGGCACGTGAGAGGACGACGAAAGTTTTGGCTGAATTCTGTTGGGACGTTATCTACTTATGTTGATAAGGTTTGCTAAGAAGAATGAGGAAATTGAAATCAAACTTCTTATCACCTTGGATGTTCTTCAGGACTTGTTCCTCAGGAATATATTCCTTCTCCAAAGTTTTACCAATCTTCTTCTCCCATATGGCCACTAACTCATTAAATGACACAATATTCTTAGGGGGCATAATGTAGACAACTTTGTTCAATGTTCTTGGATCATGGACAGTTTTGATGGTGAAGGTGCCAATGTCATGTTCTTCATTGTAAACCGCTGCAATTGAAACATTAGAAAAAAAACATATACATGAAGCACCGACACAATATTCACGTTCTTACAGGATAATAACTTGGGCAGAGGATAAGAACATGATCAGGTGAAGTAGGTGAAAAAGAATAGCCGAGTGATATTGTATGCCATACCTTTGGCATTTCCATCTCCCCAGATAGCAACTTTATCTCGTGGTGGAGCAGTGGCTCCTGGCTGTACCAAGGTTCGAAGAAAATATCCAGCAAAAGCGTTAGATACGAGAGGGGTGTAAGGGATCCCTGCGGCCTCAGTGGCTCTACGAATCCGAGATTTAACTGCAAATACAGACTTGCCAGGCTCAACTGCATTTTGGCGATCCACATCAATTCCAAACTCTGAAGGGTAGAATTTCTGAGAATTTCGCCATATCATGTGTCAGAATTTGGGGATGACAGTTGATAAACTTGCACAAATCATACTCCAGTAAAATTTCATTCCAATCTGCAATCTTTTCGTTGAATTCACAGATTGTCAAGATCACAATGGTTTCTCACGATGACTAAAACATCCTCAATGAATTGACCAATTAATCTTAGTCGCTTCTCCACTCTGAAAATGGGAAGTACCATATAGATGAGTCACATGCATTATCAAGTTCTACGAACGACACATAGAACCCTCAAATACATGAATTTCATGTGCATTATCAAAATTTAATATATTTCAACAACTAAAACCTTTGATTATCAATATTGCAGCGCCACAAAATCTGCAGTGAGCATTCCTGAGGAAAATTGTGCTAGAGCTCATTAGCAGTTACAGCATACATGTAGCAGTGTAGTGAAAGCAATGACAGAATAATCCAAGAAAAAAAATAAAAGTAATCAATACATTCTCCTATGAGAATCATTAGTAACAAGACCACATAAACAACACACCTTGACATTTCCAGCTTCTTTAATTGCGTCAATGATCTTCCCCTGATCATTCAATTGACCGAAACCAACAGTTGATATGACCACATCCACCTGCTTTATGGCTTTCACTAAACTTTCATGATCATACAGGTCACCCTGCTCCAAGGAAGAATTCCAATATCAAGGACAAAAATATACATCACCAGCTAAAAGGGGGAAAAAATACTAATAATAAAGGAATCCCAAGTGACGATACTCTCTTGGAAAAAATTAACGCTGCTTACATGAACCAGAGTAGCACCGGAGTTCTTGAAGCCTTGAGCAAGTTTTCCCTTGACAGGATCAGAAACGGTAGATTCTCTAACCAGAACAAAGGTGGGATGCCCAGCCTTAATGCTTGCCTCAACTATAAACTTGCCAATGTATCCCGTTCCACCAATGACCAAAATCTTGCTTTTTTCTGCCATTCTTGAATATTCGGAGGTATCTAAAAATGAAGGGTTGTGGAGAGTTTTTTAACTGATGCAGCAGAGCAGGGAAAGAATGGAGTGTTGGGACGTTGGCACACTGAGGAACTCTATTTAAACAGTTTGAGGATTGGTTTGGGAGTTATTAGAAAAGACCTTTACGTCACTAGAAGCGAAGGAATCGATTGAGTTGTATTTGGTCGATGAAAACGGTCAGGTACATCTTCTAGGTGACCAGTGAAAATATCTTATTAGCTAATCTTAGGATAAATGACATATAACTCTCTCGTGATTTTACGTAATGTCATATGAATTTTTTAAAATTTTAAAATAACCACATAATTCACCTACATTTTATGTAAAATGAAAATCCGATGGAATATATGGACGTTAATGAAACTAAATATCCATTTATCGAGAAAAAAAATAAATAGGAATAAATTTGATAAGAGTTAAATTTTTTTTATAATAATAATAATATTTTTATAATAATAAATTTGATTATTTTGCTTTGAGCTCGACTTATTAATTTAACACGTGGGATATTTTATAACCATATCATTTCCTTGATGCTAGAAATGCGACTTATAAAGAAATTCTTTGTCTAAATTTATGTCAAATACGACTTGGAAATAAATCCTGAGTCTGATTTGAAAACAAGCTCGACTTTGTTAACACATGATGAATTGAGCTTAAATGCGCTCGAACTTGAAAAAACTCAAATGAATTCCAATATACTATAGGAAATTGTGACTCGACAAATTTAACCAATTTAATCAACTTACTAAACAAAAATAATTCCACAAAATATAAGAAGGTGTCCAAACACTTTTCATAAAACAATTTTTAAACAATCAAGACAAGTTTAATGCACGTAATCATTAAAAAAAAAAAAAGAAGACATATTAGCTCCGCTGAATATATAAATGATCCTAAATGAGTTTAAATCAGCTATGCACGAGCCGGATTTATTAAATGAGCTTAATTTTATGTTTGAACTAGACTTGTTCACTTAAAGGAACCAGTCAAGCTCAAACTAATATAAGTTACGTCGAGCTACACTTGAGAATAGTTTGAGCTCTATAATAATATTATGTTCTTCTTTTTTCTTTTTTGTAATTAATTAGTTTTTTTTTTTTTGAAATATTAGTTTAAAAAGGGCGTGTTTGCGAGGGAAGAGGTGAGTGTTTATCTGTTAAAATGTGTATTTTAGCATACGTAGATGGATTTGTTTTTCTTTTTGTGAGGGAGAGTGAGAAGAGTATGCGCGTACATCAGAAACATTGTGCTAACGGTAGAAGAAGAGCGCACTTCTTTTTTTCTCATGTATTTAATTTTTGTAGTATATACCTGGAAACTTCATTTTTGAAGTATAGGCAGAAAGGTTTGGTACTGTGGTATATAAGAACCTGATGCGAAATAAGAACAAAGAAAGAAAATGGTGTGCTTGAAAAGTATAATTCCCAATGAATTTAAAGTAACAATGATATATTATTGCTCTTTTTTTTTTTTTTTGACGGAAGTTAGAATTATAAATCTAATCCCAGAAGAAACCTCAAAAGCCGGCAACTTTTGAGGTCCTTCCAGGGACTTATAAACCCAACCCCAAACCCCCCCCCAAGAACCGATGTGGGATGACAACCCCAAAAGGACAAGTCAGTAGGCCCGCTGGTACTAAGAAGTGATGACCCCCCACGAAACCCAGTATTGCTCACCGTTACCCTGCTCGACACCTCAACAGTTCCAAGGATTTGAGAGACTCTTAGCAATTACAAGTGCTGATTGGGAAGCTAAAAAGCTCGAATGCTCGATTAACCTTTTTTCCCCTCGTTCGAATGCTCGATTAACCTGCTCGAAGGCATAAACACCACAATCAAATTATTATTTTTAAAAAATTAAAATTTTAAAACATGATTAAATAATTGAGACGCGACATTACTTTGAAAAGTTTGCAGTAACTCTTGTTTGCACGATGCCAGATCCCGATTTATGACCTCTAATAACTAGCCATGTTGCAACTTGAATGGAATGGGCGTCACCATTCACATGAAAGTGACTAAGATATTAAGCACTGACTTAGCGGAATATTGGTTCAAGGAATTACTGGTTTGTCGTTCTTAGTGTAATTACACATGTTTACATCCTTGTAGCTGTGCTGTCTTGGTTTTCAGCAAGATAAGATACTTTCGGCCATCACCAGGAACTTTCCATTTAGATTTTTTTTTTCCAAAAAAAAAAATGATTAGGCTTTTTCTTTGGTACACATCTCATCTTTCAAAATTCTAAAATATCCCATTACAACTTATAATTCCTTCCACTGAGTGCGCCTAATTAGCCATTGAGCCTTTGGTCCGGTGGCTATTCCAAGCCTTTTTAAGCTTGGCACCACCAAGCCTTTTTAAGCTTGGCAGCGTAGAAAGCTAAGGATTCAAATCTTATTTTTCACAAAATTTATCACAATATGTGATAGTCTTCATTGATCAATTTTGATGAAATTTTTACTCACATCGAATCTCCACCTCCTCCTCCTCCTCCTCCTAGAATAGGTTAGGTTATAAAAAAATTCTATCGCATCGACCAAAAAAAAAAAAAAAAAAGAGTGCGGCACATTACACTACTGCCCCATCCCCAACGACCGACAGAATGTTCACAGCAGCAGCCATTAGAGGCACTAAGAGGAAAGCTATGTCTTGGCTTGATGATTACAATACATTCATAGGGAATATGTACAGCGTTAAAAACTCACAATCCTCAGACCATGGCACAAAATCACACACACATATATATATACAAGAAAAAAAGAAAAGAAAAGAAAAAGGATGACAAGCTTAGCAATATCCCACTCCTATTACTGATCAGTGCCTCGATTGTTTCATATTTGGGCACAGCATCTCATGAAAGATGATGATGGACAGCTAAATAATATTCAGCTGAAGGCCAGAGGCGGAGGCCTCATGCCCCAACTCCAGTTGGAGCTGCGGCGTTATTGGTCTTTGAGGAAGCCATGTCTGCTACATGGAATTGTGATGCATACTTGTAACGAGGTCCTTCTCCTGCAATCACCGGCGGCTCGTTTAGAAACGCCGAGTTGCTGCTAATCCACCTGCATGACTCACCAAGGAAAAAAAAAAAAGACGAGTCGAGTACTAATTAAATCAGATCAACAAAATAAAGAAACAGATGTGTATACTTCGACTTACCAGCCGTGCTTTAGAATCAATTTCTCCAAATTTGATGCAGTTTCCGGGTCCAAGTCCTCTTCCTTTGCGTCCTGTGCTGGCAAAGAATCCGATCTTCGATTTCTCATTCTGGCATCCTCAAATACGTTTTCCTGCGTATATTTGGTGAGCATCAGCTAATAGCTACTCGATCCCGACTAATTTTGAAAACAGAAAAAAGTCATAGGAAGGAGACCTGACCTGGCTGCGTGGGGATAACATGGAAATGTCTCTGAGATGTTCCTCCTCCTTTTGTTTTTTAGATTTCCAAAAGGCCTGAATTTCTTCTCTTGTTAATGAACTATTTCTCCGCAACTTCTCTGAAAAACAAAAAGAAAGAAACCATTTTTTGTTAGACATAAGGAAAAAACAAAAAAGGGGTTCTTACGGAAGAAACATTAAAAAGTTTACAAGAATGAAAGGTACAGATGCTAGGAGTCACGTACCAACTTTAGGATCTTGAACCGGAGAATCCCAACCTGCCATGAGAGAACCCATTTTCACTAACTATTCTTCTGCTGATAACTTTCAACTGAACTGCTTCGATTGATCAACTGATAAGAACTTCTGCTATAAGTAGCTCAACCTGATAAAGATATCCTCTTGGTTCATTTATTACTATAATAATAATAAAGACTACCACTAGAGCATGTAGCTATATCCAATGTTTCTTGGTGGGCCAAACTAAGGTAATGGCCAGTCTTGATCTTATCCTCAGATATACATTAAAATGATTAACTGTACCACACACAGTGATACTGAGACCATTTCTCTCTCAGGACGAGCCCACAGATTGCGGAAGTCACGGGGCGGCGAGGAGACCGACAAGTAACTTTGAAATAAGTCTTTTTTAATCCCCTTGTTTAATTTAATTGAGTGAAGGGACATTCTATCGAAGAAAATCCTATGATGGATAATGAATTTCCCAAAGTAAAAGTAAGCAATTGTATGATTAAAATCTGGTCCTTGCTTATTATGGAGATTATCGGTTATTGTGGATGCTTCTTCACTACCCTTTTTCTTTTTCTTTTTCTTTTTCTTTTTTTTTGGTTGAAATAAACTAATAAATAAGTAATAGCCTTAGCTAGTAAAAATATTCATTTTTAAATTTTTTTAAATATTTTTAATCAGCCTTTTATTTTTCATACATCATATAACAAAAAATATTGTCCAAGCAATTAGAATTAGGAACCACTGGGCCTTTGGCTCAGTGGCCACCGCCTACTTGGTGGGGGGAGGCAAGGTTTCAAAAATGTCACATTTTTATGATTTGTTTTCAAAAAATTCAGGCGGATGGTGGTTCAATCCCCTCCGGCTTATCTCTAGGTCTTTTTAGGCCGGTTCCCTTTCTTTTAGTGTAGAATAGATTAGGTTTATCGTTCCGATAAAAAAAAAAATAGAATTGGGAGCGTGGTGATGGGACTTAATTTTAACTGCTTCTGAGGAAAAGCGTGCAATAGTAGTTTTTAGGTTAGGATGGGAAAAAAGATGTTGGATAAAGTACTCCGGTTTTTGACTCTTTTTTTTTTTTTTTTTTGTGTAGGTTTGGAGTGAGTATTTTGTACATATCACCGCCGGCTAAACTACGTGGCATCAAGGTGTCATGTCATGCCAATCCTAATCCCATCTTGGCTAATCCTGTGTGGTGTGGCTGATCTCACCTTTAGGCTTTAACAGTTTATCTTGCTGAATTTTCGCGAATGGGCTATCCCAAAGTCAAGTGAGTTTATTTGATACTGTTCTCGATTGATTATTGATTATTGATTATTCTCATTTATTATTTTCTTATGCTGTTATTGCTTATTTTTTTATTCAAATTATAGATTTTTTAATAATTAAAAAAATCTGAAATTCATAATTAAGTAAAGAGTAGTTTTTGCTTATCCATTTTACAAAATCTAAAACAATCAAGAGTAAGGCCTTTCAAATGTAGACAGGTCTTCGTGATTACCTTTTTTTTCTCCTTTAAATAAATGGAATATCTTGAATTTATCACTTTCTATATACAATTCTTCCCAACTTATCATCCAATTCAATCATCTCTCTTAACACTTTTTTTTTTTTTTGTAAGTGAGAAAATTAAATTCAAAACTTTTTACCTATGACCTCTTCCACGTTAATCCTTCACCTCACTGCAACTATTTGGACTGAGGCATGTTAGCGGCCTACACGGCTACAAGCCAATGAAGAGGAATCGTGCTATGCAGTTGTCTCTGCCTGAAAAAAATTATGCATTTGTTTCTTTTTCAACGTAATCTTTTATCTTTTCCAAGCTCAGGAAAATTTGGATCCAAGGCTGTTGCTGTCCAGATTAAGACATCCTAGCATCTTGCTAAATAAATATCCAAGTCTAACTTAAAAAAATAAATAAATTAATAAATTTCCCACATCAAATACGCAGCCAAAGCCTTAAGAGGAATTCTCATGTTCCACTGTCTTCCACTAACGAGAGACGCATCCGTTGTGACATCAAATACAAGCTCAAGTCCAGGTAGGGTCACGAATGGGACGAATCGAATCAAATTTTGACTTAATTGAATAGAGTTTTAACTCAATTTTATCAGAAGCTCGAGTTCAATAAACTCTCAATGTAAAATTTAAATTCGAACTCGATTTTAAATTCGAATTGAGTCAAACTCAAGTTCAAGCATATTTGAATTTAAGAAAAAAATAAATTATTTATTTTTAAAAAAATAAAAAATTTCCCTTAATAAATAATGAATATTAGAGATGTATATGTAATTTTACAATATATATATATATATATATATATATATATATATATATATATATATATATAATTTGACTTGGTCAGTTTGAGGTCAACTCAAACTCGATATTGATCCAACTCCAATTAAATTTTGATTGAATGACTCACGAGTAGGGCTGGAGCTGAATCAAGTAGCTCAGCTCGAGCTCGCGAGTCGAGTCGAATTCGATTTTGGAAATATAATACTCGAGAGTTCGACGAGTTCTATAGAGCTTTTTATAATATATATTTTAATTTTTATTATTGTGAAATGTCAATAATATCCTTTATTTAAAATTATATATAAAATATTAATTTTTATTACTTGAGCTTGATTAGGTTTGATTGAGCTCAAATAATCTCGATTGAACTTGATTTGAATTAATTACATTTAATTAAGCTCGAGCTTGAATTTTAAAAGCTTGACGAGCTCGAGCTTAGTTATTTTGCCTCGAGTCAAGCTCGAATAGTGCACTACTCGAGCTTGACTCGACTCGATAGCAACCCTACTCACGAGTGCTTGCAAACAGTTTAATTCATTTACAACCCTACATCCAGGCACCAATAATTAGTGGGTTACTGGCTGAAAATCCTAATGCAGAAGTCCTTAATAATGACAAGGACCTATCCCATCTTCAAGCACCCCACAGATGCCATCTTTTAGATGCTGTGGGACGGGAAAAAGTAAAAGATGAAAAGGAAAGGCATATTATTACCTCAGAATATATATATATATATATATATATATATATATATATATATATATATATATATATATATATATACTAGTAAAAAAAAGAGAAAAGATATCATATTTTTTAGAAGTGCATTATTCTTTTTTCGCCCCGTCACTTTTTCAATGTGAATTTAGAGCTTGAAAAGATCTCTTTTTTTTTTTTTTTTTATATTGATCCTTTGTATCCTTATAAGGCTTTTTTATAATGTGTCTCCGTTTACAGTGTAACTACACGAGAAGGTAGAAAGTGTATATACTACAACTGACAAGGTTAAATGTATGATAACAAATCTTAATTTGAATTTAAATATTAAATTTTATACATGTATCATGTATTTAAATTTGATTTTGTGTGCATAGTAGATATAAGATTAATTAATAAAAGGAAAAAAATTTAAAATGTCCCTAGCGTTTTGTCAAAAAAAATTTTCGTCATCCATTTTTAAAATGTTAGTTTTACATTCCTTACAAATTTAAGTTAGCAAATTTGATTCCAACTTTTAGTTTGAAATTACAACGTGACCCAAATGCAGTCATTTTTCTTATGTATAAAAAGATTAGATCTACTTTTTCTTTGGTAAAATTGAGTATAGATAGAGTAAAATCTTACTTTTTTAGGAAAAAAATGAATATGATTCAAGTTAGATCATACCTTTTCAGCGATAGAAATGAATATCGATTGAATCACTTGTTTAACTACATATAGGATTTAACTTTTTTGCTTCTTAAAAAATGACTATGTATGGATTACATAATGGATTCAGGGTAAAAACA